GGTATAAATCTTGTAAGATTACAATTTCTATCCCTGTTATGTGTCTGTTTTGCCTTCATTATTTAAACCAATACATAATGCCATACAAAATAAATCTGTTTTACAGGCCTTTTTTTCAAAAATCGAGGCTAGAGGGCGAATTTATTATTTATAAGAGATTTTTTAGATTTTCAACTAGAATAAATCAGAGGAAGGGAAAGCATTTATTATTTATTTCCACAATTTTAACGTACATTTAATATTAAGGCAACAATCAGTCATTTTTGGGCCTGTAAAAGAGACTATTTATTTTGTATGGCCTAAGGCTTTTGTGTTGATCAAAATTTAAGATCAGGTGTAATTTTTAAGACAGGCAACGTTCATATTATATGTTGTAGGTACAGTAAAAGCCTACCAGTCATTAGATTGTGAAGTAGTATGGTATCCTTCCTATCTGGCACCAGAAGACGGAGAATTTCTACTGGATGTAGTTGGTGGTATTACTGAGGAACTCAAATGTGTAGCTGAGGTACGTTAGTTTGAATCTTCCAAATATAAAGCATGGAATACAGAATTATTGAGATTTTTTGTTGGATTGAAGAGGGTAGGGTGGTTGAAAGATAACAAGATACTAGTCAAGAGAAAGCACTGGCACAGGGTAAAAGGACTGTTCATTAATAGTAGACATTAAGGTAACAAGATACTAGTCAACAGAAGACACTGGCACAGGGTAAAAGCACTGTTCATTAATAGTAGGCGTTAAGGTGGTTGAAAGGTAACAAGTTACTATTCAACAGAAGGCACTGCCAGAGGTTTAAAGCAGTGTACACTAATTGTAATTGTAAGGGAGGTTGAAAGGTAACTAGTTACTAGTTTCACGCTTTTTAATATTGCTTAATTTTTGTATTATATTTTGTAGGTTGGTCACAGTAATGTGAATTTTGTGGATCGTAGAATAACTTTTGGACAAGTGCCTGTTAATTTAACAACTGTTAAAACAGCATTATTGAAGAATTCTGGACCTCACCATGCCTACTTTCAGGTTAGACAAATTTCATTGACTTATTCTTTTAATCCTTTTAACACTGATTGTATATAATATAAATAATTAGTATCTGATAGTGGTGAAAGGGCTAAAACAACAGTTTCTTCCCCTTTCTAGTACCAAAATTTCATAGCATCAAGATTTCTCCAACTGGCATTTGGTGGGGATGAAATTTATAATGCATTAATCTGAAACTACAAATTTTGTCTTTGTTTAGGTTTTGGACCCTAATCCCTTCCCTGGTTTGATTGTCTCCCCTGTCAATGGTGTAGTGCCAGTAGGGGGCACTTGTGAGATAAAAGTAGCGTTGACACCCGACGCTATATTAAAGTTTGATTCGAGAATTCAGATTGATATCAAGGGAGGTAAATGTATTGATTTAAGGATGGGAGGTACGGTGGAGCCACCAGCAGTAGATATTGATGTGGTAAGTTCCAACTTCTTTTTTAGCACTGACGTCCCATACTTATGTTACCATAGCCACCTTTCTTGTATCACAGAAGTTTGTTAATGCAGCAATGTGATTGGATTGTATGCTACTAAGTACAGCCAATCAGAGCCCTCGACAGAAAGATTTAAATAATTTGGAAGAGCCTGTAATTGAATAGAT